TTGGAATTTTCTCTAATGGGATTGAATTTTTTTTTCTGTTTCGAGCGTGCGTTTTCTAGAAATAATGCCGAATGTGTCAGTGGCTGTCTAGTCGTGATGTGCGATTTCCAATTTTCGCTTCTATTTTTGAAATTAGGCTTTTGGATTAGGTTTATTCGGAATATCTGCGTAGAGTAGGTTGAAGGCAATATTCTGTTGAAATGAACAAGCATGTGTAACCGTAGAAAAATGTTGTACTCATGGAATTGCTCCAGCATATAGCCATAGAGGTCAAGAGTTATATTTTATACTGAGAAAAAATTGAAGCAGTAATACATATATGTAATTTACGATATGTATATTGAATTCTAGATCAGCTAACCATATGACATAGGACGTAGAAATGTTTGATGGTCAAAGCAATATTCGTAAAAGGAAGATGGTTTGGGCAGACAAAGAAGAATATAATTAATTTAGGTGATGTAATCTTGTAACAGCAAAATATTGAAAATAGATTAAGGTTGAAGTGAATGGTCATCTCTAATCTGTTATATTTCAGAATGTTCGAGTTGAGGTATATAAAGGAAAGGAGAGGTCCTAATGCGAGCAGTGAGAAGAGGAAACACATAGTATGTTGCATTAAGAAACAGGAAGAGCGCATCATGTGTATCAACAGAGAAGGATGTGATGTGTCATCAACATACAAATTTGAGGACCATTAAAGAGATGGAGAATCAACAATTGGTAATAGTTATAATGGTTAAAGATAAATTGAATACGGAGTATAAATGTTGTATTAAAGCACAAATGTGTAGAAATATCTATAGGAACTTGGAAACTATAAAAGCAGGATTAATAATGGAACTGTGGCACATGGATTTAATTGTGCCAAGAAAGTCTATGTTAAAAGGAGGTTAAAGGTATGTCTTGCTTGCTGATGATTATTCAAGGAAAGAACCATTTGGTTGACTGATTTATAAATGACTAAAGATTTAATATGAAATAATATTGACGAAGGATTTCTTTTATTATAGGAGACTACAGCCAGGAATAATTTTCATATGCAAGAGCTAGCGACCAAGAGTAAAGTAATAGGTATTAGTTAATAATATTTCAATAGATTGTATGTCTATTTTTTTAAATTTAACCGATATACAATATTTAATTTCTAAATTTCTATATTAATATATTAAATGATTTCCCCGTTTGATTTACAATAATAAATAATAAATTGTAATAAATTTGATTTTAAAAGTGTTTTACATTATTCAAACTAATATATTTGTCATAACTAGGTCACAATAAAAACAATTATTGGTGTTATTGATTTAGAATTATGGGCAAAAGAAACTCCAAAGGCATGTAAAAATTTCATACAATTCATTTCAATTATGTATGGGTGGTTATTGGGATGACACTATATTTCATAGAATTATCAAAAGATTCATAGCACAAGGTGGTGATCCCACAGGTACAGGAGAAGGTGGTAAAATATCTGGAGAACCATTTAAAGTGAGACTATATTTAAGAATGAAATGAATTCCTTTTTTATTCAAAAATAATTATTATATATATGTGTTATAGGACGATTTTCGTACAAGATTACGATTTTGTCGACAAGATTTAATTGCTGTTGCTAATGCTGGAGAAGATGACATTGGGTCCCAATTGTTTTTGTACTCTTCATTCTACACCAGATGTGCAGAATAAACATACAATCTTTGGTAAAGTTACTGGACAAACTCTATATAACATGCTTAAACTTGAAGAATCACTTGTAGATGAGGTAAATTTAATGTTTACAAGAAAATATATCAAGAAGTGATATAAATATAATATTTCCCCTTTTTTGTAGAATGATAGACTACTTTATTCTCCAAAAATAAGAAAAACTGAAATATTGAACAATCCTTTATCTGATATTATACCAAGAATTATAGTACAGGAAAATGAAGAACAGTTCAAAAACTGAAACAGCAGCAGTAAAGTAGAAATCATATATGTTTGCAGAATTTAGCCCTAGTAGTATTATTCTTTGTAATGAAAAATATTGTAATAGAGATTTCAATCTTTTATCATTTGGTGAAGAAGCAGAGGAAGATGAAGAAGAATCTGCTATATTAAGTAAAAAGTTTAGTGGTAAGGGCTAATCAACTCATGATCATTTAACTGATCCAAAATTAAGCTCATAACCAGCTGTTGAACCACCTGGACTTGCAAATGAAAAAAGGAAGGAAGGCCGCTGTAGTGATTAGAAAATTGACGACGAAGTAAAAACTTAAGAAGAAATAGAAGTTGTAAAGAAAGAGAAAGAGTTAGTTTATTGTTTACATTATAACTATGTTATAGAAAGTAAGAATTTTCATTGACTATCTTATATTTATATTTTCAGGGAAATAAAGGAAAGGATAAAAAATAAATTGAAGGACGCAAAAAAGGAACCGAAGAAAGTAGAAAGTTATAAAATAGATGATGTTGAAGATGATAAAGATATAAAGGAAAATGAATAGGGAATAAAGAACTCCTTATAAGGTTTAGCACGAGAGAAAGCCGAGGAGATGCACGATAAGAGATATCAAGAATTGTTAGGATAACTCATGTATTTGAATGGAATCATTTATCATATATCTATAAATATTGTACATATATATATGGTCATTATAATGATAATTATTACGTGATATGTATTACGAAACAATTTTTCAATGGTCTGTGATACGAACGTCTACTCAGATTCTGTCTATATGTCATTGTTTATTATGTCGTTAACAATTAACGTTTATATGTAAAACTTTCAATGTTAATAAAAAGTACTTTAGCATATAATCATCGCAGTTTCATTTTCTTTTTACCAAGAACAAAATCACCCATTTTGATCTGTGACTTCATGTTCGTTGAGCTGTTAAGAGAGTAAAGAGAAGGAACAAAAATGTGTTATACTCATTTATGTCCTTTTATTCTTTTGTTTCCCACGGCCAACGCGTCACGTGGTTTTTGATTGTGCAATTTCGACCAGCGCCATCTATGATTTTGGACCATATGCCCGGAAAAGTAATAGGAATATAGAATAGGCGAGGAGGTCATCGAAGAGCTCGTCACGTGATAGACAAAGACAGAGAGGGGATAGAAAAGGATAGAAGGGCTCCGTCAGTGAAAAATTAATGAATTACGGAAAGTGAGTAATTTATGCTGGTCTCACTGGGCTCGTAAGCTGCCTCGGGCGAGATCTTTTGTTTGGGTCGACTTTCGTCTACTGGTCCCTGTCTTCCGTCGATGTCGTGCTGTTTTCTGGGGCTGCGGGGTTTTCTTTCGTCTTGGCTACCTGGCTCGGTGGCTCGGCGTGGCTGAATGACGTAGGACGGGGATTTTTTCCCCCGTTCTTTGCTCTCTCTTCTTCAAGTTGTTTCGAGAACAGTTCCACTGTCTTGTTTAATTTATCGATGATTGTTAGCAGCTCATCGTATTGCAGGGCCGCAGATTTCTCATGTAGCGGTCCTTGGCACGTACATGCAAAGAAACATTCGACGTGCGGAAAAGGGGGCCGAGAGGTTTTATCGAAGGCGTTGCTACATAGCTGTTTTTGAGAAAGCCGTCTTTTATTTTAATCTAAATTCAAAGGTTTTATGACGGCACGTTTTGCTAACCTTCGAACTTAGTCAGTCCGGGCCTCAACAGTCCATACGAGTACCATAAAGCCTCGGGGGATTCTTCAAAGGGACCAAGGTACCGCAGGCAACCTTAGCCGCGCCGCGGGTCGCGGGCCCATGAGGAAATCCCCCTACGTCACCAAAAATTTTCACAACAAGGAATAGGGAGCGCAATTAATTACACCTAAAATACCTGATTGGTTAACGATCCGAACTCGGTGTTAACCAATCAGGGTGTCTCCCGCGTTTTTGGGGAGAGCTCGTCTAATCGGAGGAAGATTCGCTCAGTCTTTCCTGAGCCACTAACTAGTCAGGGTCTTTTCCACTAATAACCTTGTACTGTGCAAACAGACAAATAAAGTAGAGAAGATGCTAACTTAACGAGTTTGTGAGTACGACTTTACTATATCCTGTCTTTCCACACTCGCTTGCTTCCTTTGTTGCAGCGGTACTGGCTACTTTCTTGTTTGGCAGCATGTCTGTCAATTTCCATGACGATAGTAATGATTCTTTTCTGATTATTAAATTTGGCAATGGTTTCTGAATTTTTAAACTTTTCAGTTTAGCTGGGTTATTTATTTGAGCATTAATCTTGATAATGCTCTTTTGTGTTAGTCCTTTCTCCTTTATAATATTCAACACTTCGTTGACGTTGTTTTTCCCAATGATTATATTACTCCCTGATGGTTTTGTTAGTTCACTCTCCACTGACTGCAAGAGATCACTCCCTTGTTTCTTTGATATGTTGTTGTCTATCTGGATGGTGTTCTATTAATGCACTATGGAACGTGTTTTCACTGTCGAACACAGGTATAAGCGTTTACGGTTAAGGGCTTCGACTGCGAAGGATCGATCGGTACATCCGTCACCCTCGAAGGTCAAGGCAAAAGTAGCCCCTAGCAGGTCTTGCTTTAGACTGAAATACTATTGGAAGGACGGGAAGTTATATATATAGGATTTGGACGTTTTCTGAGGACTTGCGAGAAAGTCCTCGAAGTCGGAATCCATCTGATGGTGAGGGTAAGAATGATGGTTGCTACAATAATAATTCGAAGGCTTTGTGCCATAAAAATGGTAAATAAGAAGTGCAAATTAATTGGAAGACGTTAATATCTAGTAAATATCTCAAAAACTATCGAGTAGTGGCGGGTACAATGGTATATATTCTTAAACTGCATGACAAAATCTACAAACCTACAAAGTTTCGATTAAATCGGTGACTCGAAGGACTTGCACTCTCCATGTGAGAGGTGCCGCTCGAGTGCAAATAGCTAACAACGTCGAAATTTATTAACAGCGTCCATATTACCATCTTTTTCCTTACAATGCAAAGTATATATAATAACGAAGTAGAAGGAAGAAATAATAACTCACAAACGTCGCGATGAGAGCCATGGACATTCCCGCCATCAAGGAAAATATCGACTGACCGATAATCTGTATCGTTACAATAATTTCGTACAGCGGTGAAACTGTCGCTTCGAAAGGAAATTCCATTCTTAACAAAAATTTCTTCTCAGTGGGATTTGACACTTGAACGTCGTCCACGGGGCCGAAAAGTGTAGTCACTGTATATCCAGAGATACTGCATGTAAACATTATAAACATAATCCTCGCAATTCGATAGGATAAAGCAGCTTTCTGTATCATTACTTCCATATTCCATTCGGATTTACAATTATTCCAGTCCTCGGCCATTGAGGCCAAAGTTTCGGCAAATACTCTGTGCAAAATAATATCCCCACTCATATAGCTTTATGCATAAATTAACATGTTAGATATTAACCCTTTGCGGTCCTATGTCGAGCGTCACTCGACACAGCGTTTAAGATAAGGCAAAACTATTTCTGGGAATTGCAAGCGTCTATTGTTAATGCTTTTGTTTTGTACAAAGCATCCACTGTTAATTCGAGCAATCAGAAGATTTCCCACAAAAAATTTAGAGAAGAACTTTTGCTTAGACTTGTTGGGGACTTGCGTGCAACAACAAAAACAGGACGACCATCGTCCAGCGACAAGAAACAGCGATTAGATGGAACATTACATATAATTACACTGCACCTGCAGCGTAAACACAAAGATTGCACAGTATGTTCAAATCGAAATATTCCTGGTGGCAGAAGAGAGATTACATATATATGCGAAACCTGTGGCAGAAAACCGGTGGTTGATAAATGGTAAATTATAAGCTGCAAACAATAAAAAATAATGTTTACAAAATCTGAAACTTTTATTTTATACATCCAACCATTCATAAGTATGTTGCGTTAGTAAGCTCAAAAATGTTTTCCAAAGTAAACGATATTAAACGAATGAGCGATTGACGAAATCTGTCCGGACCGCAGAGGGTTAATATTGTTACAATAAAAAAAAAATTTCATTAAAAAGTTAAATAAAAATAATCAAAATTTATCTTACCGTTTGTGGAACCAAATGATCATAAACTTCAGGAGAAGCAGAGTATTGGAGAACGTAAGACTTAAGCCATCTAATAAATCAGGCAAACTGTCTGTTTTAATGTGAGTGATACAGTAGGAGTATTGAAATATCAAGAAGGTCGACATCGTTAGCATCCAGGTAATATATTTCAAAATTCGAAACGGAGAATTTGGCCAGGCGCCAATCATGCGAAGACTAATTTCTACTGGATGGCTAATGATACTCTTCTCCGCCATTAATATTAATATTTTGCGAATATTATTTGTGTTTTGGATCCAAATGGCCCTACAAGTTTAGCTCGTTCGATAATAATTATTACAATATTAATCAATCTGGCATAAAATATATTCAAAAAGTATTGAATTAATCTAAGAGTATAAAATAATATTCATATTTGAAAACAAATATTAAATTTATTTCAGGTGCATTCAAAGTTGCAAAATAGTATTCATAATTAGGAATAAATACATATCAATTTTATTTCAAAGGTATTAACTTTTGAGCATTGTTTAAATGAACATTACGTTGAAACGTTGGAAAACTGTACCAAAGCAATCGGTGCACTTTTACACAATACAACAATTCTTCATACAACATCGATAATATTTTTCAGAAATATTATGTTAGACATAATTTACGATACGTTTACGATTTTTGGGTGTCGAAAATCTTTTGGTACCGAAATTTAAAAAAATGTTGGGTGATCAATTAATCATTTTAACCCTTATTTTAATAGACCATATATCAATCTTTTACAGGCGAATGTCACATATTGCAGTTAAAATAACTTTATTTCTTTTATTACTTTCGTTCGTATCATTTTATTTATAAAATTCCCTGCAATTTATTATTTGCAATGATTCATTATAAATCTATTCCATAATTTATATATAGAATATTTATATAGCAAAAATACATTATGTTATATGATATTCTACATAATTATATTTTATTTTATATAAAAAATTATTATATTTCAAATAAGAATTTATATAGAGTAGATGTATATAAATTATACATACTTTTACACCATAAATATGTATCATATATTTAGCATATATAAAATACATACATTTATACATACATTTTATGTACAACACCATAATATATATCTTTATATAATAAAAAAATCCGTAAATATATATAAAAGAGAATAAAAGTTCGTGAAAGGTTAACATACAAGCCTAATAAAATATTTAAAATAGTTCAGATCAAATTTTAAAAAATTTATCCTTCACTCTCAATCGTTTAAAAATGTAGTAACCTAGAAATTTCCTAAGAATGAATTAATTTCCTAAGAAGAAACTATCTGTCCAATGATAAAAGAATACGTTTTTTAGAAAATTTCGCATCATTTAAATATTTACACAATGTTCATAATTTCCTTTTTAAAAAGCACGCACTAAATGTGCTGTATGACAGGGAACGGATCTATTCTCACTAGACACACTCATTGGTAACTAGGCCTTTTCAAGTATCTACCAATCAGCGAGCATTTCATATGAGCGGCTTCAAAGAGGCATTTCAAATTAGAAATCCTAACATATTTAAAAAAAGAAATTGATTGTTAAAAATGAAACTGTTAAGAAAGAACTAAAACTTGCATATTTTGTCTAAAATCGAACAAACGAAGCTTTACCAATCGATAAATATCACAAGCACAGAATACTTGTATTCTTCAAGTCAAATTTACCTTAATAATGCATAGAAGTTAACAATACACGGGTCTCATGTACAGACTGGGACATTTAAATGGAAAGACCTAAATATCACCGATATTTACAGTTCTTTGAAAAATTTCTTCAGAGTACAAGCACATAATCGATAAAAGACACTTATTATTTTATTATTATTCCAAAATTACTTTTTTTTTTTAAATTTGGAAACGTTGATATCTATTTAAATAAAACGCTATATTTTTTCTATATTCATTAAAACATTGCAAGAATGTCATAGTACAAAAATTGGGGTATATATACCCAGATAAATAGTGATTTTACAAGGAGAAATAACTCGGCAAAAAAAAGGAATAATATTTTTCATTTCTAATTTAATTTTCAATGAAACACTGTTGAAAATCTGTTAAATACCTGTGGAAGTTTTGAGGCATGATACTTCCGCCTGCACTCGTATTCTTATTATTAAATACAAATAATATCACACTTTGATATTAGTATGAGGTTAATAGCACAAACGGACGTCGTGTAAATAAGATAAAAGCAATAACAAAAAGCAAATGGTGATATAGGTCCTATTTAACCCTCTGTATATTCAATAATACTATGTAAGATAATTATAGTGACATAGAAAATAAATCTGATTGATAAATCTGATAAATAAATAAATTTGAAATTTAATTAAATATTATTTACTTCAAAAAGTTAGATAAAATTTATTTGCATGTTATTTAGTAAAAACAAATTAAATAAAGTTTATTTCTATGTTATTTGATTAGGAAAACGTAATAAAATTTAATTATACGTTATATAATTTAAAATATGAATATTCCTCAATTAAATTTAATTAAATGTCATTTGAAAAATTATATTACAAATAATATAATTGTACATTACTGGTAAAAGACACGTAAATATTCACCTTAGAAATTCTTTAACATCCGATCGTATATATAGTTATATAAGAATGTACATACAGAATATCTTCTTTGATATTAGAATGAATCACAGTCGAACGTCCACTACGCACTGAAAAATAGTTTGCCCGGAACAGAGGCAAAACTTTTAAAGTAACTTAAGAACAAAACTTTGTTACAACTGAAATGATATTTAAAACTGCTTATCGACCAAATGTAATTACTTGTAGTGTATTATGAAGAAGCTAATGCTCATAGAATATGTAGTAATATCAGCGATTACTGGCTAAAGCAATAAGGAGGGGAATACGATGAAGAACATTTGTCTTTATATTGATTCTGTCGGAAACGTCATTACGGACAATTTATATTAACAATGCAAACTCTCATCTTGAATCTCGAAATGGGTAAGAGCGGAAATATATTTACTTTCTTGAAGAAAGATGAAATCAAAAATATCTCATTCCGAATATGCAATATTCTCGAGTGCACTTGAAATTCGTTTGTTCCGTAAATTCTTGCTTATTTTTTAAGAAATTGGAAACAAAGGAGGATTTATCCACTGTCGTAAGTATCTAGTTTATTACTTCTTGCGTGAATGCTGGGACACCCTTTATATACAAATTCTGACCTTCCATTAGTATTCCCCGTCGAAGATAGGGACTGTTAGGTAACCTTACTGACGAGTCCACTAGCAGATTCAGGACGAAATACACCCTTCCTTTTCCTTTCGTCCCACCAAGCAGCCACCTGATCGAAGGGGCCTCATGGCAGCAATGAGGATACAATAGAATTCCAATGGGGGAGGACCCCCATAATTATATTCATAATAATTATGGAAGAATGTATTCTCCTTGTCTTCCTTAAATGTCGTGTTATGTCATATCCACATATTAATGATGAGATTTATTGGTTTTATTGTAACATCAGTGTCCAAGTAATACGAAAATAATACATTTTTTGTAATTTAGTTATTGTCAATTATTTTCAAGTATTTATATTATTATATCGACAACATTTTACTATTTTTTAATTACGCCTTTATTTTAATTTTTCCATTATAAATTTCTTTATATATATGAAACATATTTTATTATTTATGATATAACTATTTTTCATATATAAAATAATTATACATATCATTTATGATATAACCTTTGGATTCTAGTTTATATTTGATCCGAGTTTACTCCCTTTAAGTATTTTTCTTTAAAAATCGAGACATTATAATATATGTATATTCCTGTTTAAGGCATAATAATAAATCTTTTAATCGCATAATGTCGAATTTACTATTCACCAATTTTTGAATTTCCATTTTCATCCTATATTTGAAGATTTTTCTATTGAAAATGAGATTACAATGAGATGGCGTCAGGATACTTACAGAATAATGCTTTATGCATGTATTCATGGCTGTAATTCACGTCATGATTCACATTCTTCCTCATTTGCTTTAATTTTCTTCTGCTCTGAGCTTCAATAAATCTTGAATAAGTTAACGAAGTTTGTCGTAATATGAAAAGAATCAATTTCTAAAACATAAACGATATTACGATAGCTTTCGAAAACTCGTGTATTAATCCTAACTAGTAAACACTCTTTAAAATAGTTTTAAAATAAATTCAATAGTTATGGAATAGCAAGTTCAAAATAACACTTATTTTATGTTAATATGTAAAATTAAATATATAATTAGCAGAAAATTCACATTTCTAATTACAATTTAAAAATAATCCCTTAAGATATGAGAATAAAATTCACATAGAAAGTTTTTATTCAATAATACAAGCTTTTATTATTTTTATTTTAATTATATTAGCTATTAAACTAATTTATAAAATAGTAAAAATAATAAAAAATAATCTACATTATTTATATCTGGAACACTGATGTTCTGTGAAGTTTAATAATTTTTATAAACATTTGAATAAGAACAATAAATGAAAACATTGTTATCCGTATCTGATAGTTGTTACTACTGAACGACTTGACAATGCAATAAATCAGCAACAACTAGAATAAAAGCAATTGGTATCTTACACATTTGGTATTTGAATCCAGAAATACTTCCGTCGTGTATGATATTGAACAATTATTTCACAAAAACAATGTTAAACCAAAGAATGTGAAAAGTAAAAGTAGATAAAAACAGAAAGTATCTTTTCCATAGATGAAATATAAAAAAAAAATTGCAACAAAATTAAACTGATAAATAACTAATAAATAACACATCTAAAATATTAAACTAATGAAAGAAATAATGACAAATTTGAATACATTTCAACTTTCCAAATATTTTTTATTTTTGTTTATATTATAACAGACCAGAAAAGTGAAACGAACGAAAATAAAGCTTTGTAAATCGTTGCAGTTCTAATTCTTCTATTTACACATCTCTACAAATAAATCAAACGTAACAAATTATTAATGTGATATTTTTGAGCTAAACGTTCCTTTGAAATCTCCGCAATGCTTCCAAACAATTTTCCAAAAGTTCAATACATGGCGTACAAAACAGATACATAGGAGACACAAGCCTTCAACATCTAAAAATGTTACTTATATGTAATTACAAATAGCTTTATATTATTATAAATAATTATATAAAAAGTGTAAAATTCATTTACGTAAAATAAACGACAGAAATCTAAACGATACAAAATACTATGATAAAATAAGTACTTTCATTTTATATATATGTAGGATATTTTTAGCATTTGAAATTGAGTGCAAATTGAATGCAGGCCTTCAGGATGACATCTGGAGTTCATGTAGAAATACAAGTGACCACGCGCAAGGATTTTATAGACAGGATGTATGTAACTGTACCGAGTGCGAGCAATGAGCGAAAGTTAGGAATGCGGCTGAGCGTTTGAAATACTGTGCGTTCGAGAAAAGAAGGCACAGCGTGTTTACTCTGAGTGGCTGAAAAGAAGTCATCGGAGAAACTTATAGGACCGAATCTCCACCAGCGCAACCATTCTAACAACATGAAGGAAATAGAGTAGAACGCTTCTCTTATTGATAGAACTTATCCCTTCCTATTAGCCCGATCATAGAACACCATGTGACAAAGAAAGCGAACGAAGCAACGAGACAAAGTGAGACAGACGCAACAAATAGATGCAAGAACGTAGACTCATCCCGAAAGCATATTAACTTCAGATTCTTCCGATGAACACATGATTATTTGCAATTACTAATTACTAATTAGCATCTTGATTAACTTTTCATTGCATTACGCAGCAAACGTGATGTACTATACACATATTTTTTATATTTATGGTGTATCGTATGATTTTTTTAAGCGGTTATCTAGTACGATGCAATTACATAATTAATTTATCATAAAAAATACATCTTAAATTTTAAATCAATTTTCATAAATGATGTTAATTATTATTACTTTCGTACTTCTTTACCTTATAAATCATCTGATTCCTTATCCGACTCGCTGCTTTGTATTTCTAATTCTAGGTCTTCAGTTGCGTCTTCTATTATTCCATCTTTCGTGCAATATTCGTGTTCCAGTGTTTCTACGTGTTCACAAAATCCTTTCCAATCATTTGGTGTCGTTTCGTTTATTGCCTGGCCTAGTAGTGTTTCCAATTCATTGTAAATTAACTCTGAGGTAACATTTCTTTCGCGGATATCATACGCCTATGTTAACGTACCACGTTACCGAACTTGGAGGTAGTAGTTTTGGGAGTATCATAGAAAAGTGGATATTACTAGCGAAAGTGTAAGCGGAATTTTCATCACTATTTTCGGCCAATAGTGGTAAATGCCTGTGATCGAGGGAGTATCAACGGGATCAGTCTACCGTGAGGATGTAAACACGTTGTGCCATCTTTTCTCGAACGTACAATACCTAGTCCACACAGGAAAAGGTCGCGTGGGAAAAAAAGAAAGTGATCGAGAAAGAAAGTCTGCGTGTGAAAGAAGTGAGACTGTTAGATTTAAGCACTTCGGTACGAGCGTCGACTATAATCGACAGTCAGAGATGAACGCGAACAGTTGTGCGACGACTGTAGCCGACGATCAAGAACTTTTACTTTGATTCTGCAGTTGCAGTGAGTACGTTCAGCTAGTAAGTTACTTCGAATCAATGACCTTTTTACAAGCCCTTAGTGGGAGTTATTATAGTACGGTTTTGATTCATGTAAGTAATATGTAAGTAATGTAAGTAAAGCTATTTCCGAGATTTTTCATTTTTATTTTTTATGTTACGTTTTAATTTTTATAAGTCAGACCCATAATGGATTAAAACAATAATTTTGAATGAAATTTTCTAATTTCTCATTTATCAAAATAAAATTGTAAACATTTAGAAATATTGTAATAAAAACATATGCTCTGCTGAGTTACGTTACAAGTAAAACTATCTGTAATGTACACAAGTTTTCAGTGCTTCAAAGATTTCCTCATCACACATCTGTAAAGGAGCAAAACGGATTCGTCGTTAATACACAGCACAATGTATCATGCGCACTATGAGTGCCGCTTGTGGGCAAGACTTCGAGGCCGGTAATCTTCGTATTGAAGTGGTTAAATAAGGGTGCAAGGCCAGTCTTTGGATAGTTCTGATGGAGAGTCTTATGGAAGAGTCTTTAGCAAAGTTTACGAAGAGTGAGGGAGAATCTTAGGCGGATTTTGGTGTGCATTGTCAAAGAAAGTACGCGAGAATATCGGTCGGTCGCGTAATCATAGATCATTTATTAGTCTAATATTTTAGTTTTACTTTACTCCTAGTCTCATTTAACTCGTAATACAAAATTAATCTTCTTACATTGGTAAATACTTCCAGGGAAAGACTTACGAACTTGCCAGCTGTAAGTGTCAACAGCTTTTGAGACCGCAATAAGATTAATATTATAACACGAGCATCTTGAGGTCCCAAATTGTACCAGAGAATATTATACACGGATTTAGTAATGGTCTCGCTCTGAAAAAGCAGGTATAAACAAAATATTATATCGCATATAGTTTACTTTGGTAATTATGTAGAAGAAGGAGGAAAATTAATTTTCGATGATTTCAAAATACAGTTGGTGGAAAAGGCATTAGTATACTATATGTAGCTGTGGCGCCCCTTTTTGAGAGCGCGCACCCATATGTGTCGCGAAAATCGAGCGATGTCGAGTATACTCGTCAATCACGGAGTAAATGTCACTGTTAAAATATTGAATCAAAAAGATGAGTTTATTTTATAAAATTGACAATTTTATTACTAATATTTACTTATTTGGTTAACATTTGTTCTCTTATTGGTTAGCTTTTATGGATATCTATGAATTTTAGTGACCGTCAAAGAATAGCTAGGTAACTTCGGGCCAGCAGCCATCAATGGGCTCAGCGCCTGGTCAGCGTCACGCATTTGTCCCGTGGCGAACCATCCCTGAAGGAACCCTATCGTAAATCAGCTTTCCGACCTTTGCTTTTACCCCTTTTATGCTAACATCTAAAAAACGTTATCATCGCGCAGAAATAAATTCGTTATGCGAACTAATAAGCTGTTTCAGTCGGTGCATACGGGGACGCATGAGTTCGTCTCAAATTATTCATATTTTTTATTCGCTTGTTTTATTTCGGCCTGGCCTCAAAATATTCTAAACATCTTGAAATTTGGGAATATGTTTTATTTTTCACAAAAATTACAATTTAAATAGCCAATGGTCGCTACTTCTTACGCATGACGAGTATACTGCAGTTAAAAATGACTTAAGATATGTTTTTACATATTTATACATATTTAGACATATTTAGACATATTTATCAACAAACCAAATATTTTCCATCTCACGATGGCGCATACACTGCCACGAACCCTGTTGCAATCACATACGAGCAAAAGAAATTCAATGTAATAACAGAAACTATCATTGACTTATATCTAAAAAACAAAGGCTAAGTGGTAGTAACAGGTACACAAAACAGTTGCTCAAAATTACGTTCCTAGCAACATATTTTAACTTCGTAGAATTCTATACAGGATGTCCAAGTCGAGGCAGTCAATTAAAATATCTCATTTTATAATTCATAAACAATCTTCGCATTACTTTACGATTTTATCATATTTTTCATGGATAAGGTTATTTGAAGGTGACGTTTTAGACATATTCATGTACTTTTTTAATCGATTGAAGATGCAATAGAAAAAACACATCTTGAAATGACCATCAATTGACCTTGGTAAGTTAAAAATAAATCAAAAGACTTATAAAGATTAAAAAGCCCAAAAAAAGAAATAAATAATCCTACCTTATGATATTTTTGCTTAGAAATTGTTTAAACTGTGCTACAACTTTTAAATAGATTTTCGAAAGACAGAGAAATAAATTTCGAAAAAGATTTTCCAATGGTTAAAAACGGAGAAAATATTCAGCTTGGACACTCCGTATAATAATCTGTATTTTTCCTTATTTATCATAATTTCATTATTTACCTTTGAGGTAAGGTATTCACCTGTATAGCAAAGAACGAATGCTTCACAATTAAGAGCAAGATAATAGGGAAAGCATTTCGTTATTATCGCAGCCGTCTGATCCTTGTGTAAGGACTATTACAGACAAAACACATCGTCACATTTGAATGTTTAATTAAATAGCGTAATGAAACTGGAGTTAATTACAAATCTGATTCACTCACGACCACTAGAATGAAGCTTATAAAAGTGATTGCTATCACATTTGATAAGAATTGACATAGCGAGATGTAAGTCAACATGGATTCGATATTGTTTGAAAGTCGTATAATTCTTTGATGTCTTCTAACGACATCGCTCAAAAACAGCTTTAGCGATTTCGTGTTCTCACAATTGTAAGTAATTTCTGTTAATTTTTGACAAAAGAGATCGATTTGGGTACCAATGTGTAATATCTGAAAAGAAGATCTATTTTACGTAATGTCTATAGTGTAATATCTCTATTGGAGATACTATGTTTATGTGAAGTGGAATTATTTCAGTGTATATTTATTCGATTTTTTTTCCTAAAAGTAATTTATATAAAAAAATGAAGTAATTTGTATAAAAATAAAATAATACTCATACACGAATAATAGATTCAATTATTCTAACTTAAAATTATAGAATAAACCTCCTTCTATCTTATTTCTATGTTATTTCACCGCTCTACGTTTATTTAAAACATTTTCCTCTATTTTGTCGAATATAAATAACCATATTGAGGAATATAAAGTAGGAAAAAATGTTTTAAATAAGTCTCTTTCATTCAAAATAATTAGCTCCTGTATACCATTTAGTTACAAGAAAAAAGGGAAGTCATTACCTGTAATAACTTCTAAGAAGAAAATTTGTCTCACTCTGAATAACTCAATTATTAATTACAATTTTATACATATTACTTATCATTTAGAAATGAAATAACAAAGGAACATATCAATTTTTAAAGATAAAATTAGAAAAAAATACTTACCAATGTACAAACTAACCCTATCGAAATGGCAGCACCATAGACAAAGAACGAATCAAACAAACACTGCATGGTGAGAATAATTTCATAAATTGGAGAAACAGTGGCGTCAAATGGAAACTCCATATTGATAAAAAATTTCCTTTCTTTGGTATCTATCATATTCAGATCACCATCGGAATTACTCATAGTAATTACTATGTATAAAAAGAAACTAACCATATAATAACCGATTAAAAAATTCGAAATGCGAGAACATAATGTGCTGCTATCAGATATTATTCGTTTATCCTCACTGGTAGAATTATTACCATTATTCCAATCTTCGAACAGAGTCATCAGAATATCGAAAAACTTTCTATAATAAAAACATGTTTTTCTTTTTTCATTAAACATACAAACATATTCACCGAAAATTCTATTAAAAAATATTATGATCATCATACAGATTTTCTTATTTACTAATAAAAGAATTCCATTATATAATGCGATAATATCTTACCGTTTATGAAGCCATATAATACTCAACTTGAGGAACACGAGCGAATTTGATAATGACACACTAAATCCGTCTAAGAAATCAATTAAACTTGACTTAAAGTGAGTAATACAATACCAATATTGAAATAGTAGCAACGTTAACATTATTATAGTCCAAATGATGGTTTTCAATGTCTGATATGAAGAATCTGGCCAGACACCGAATAGGCGTAGGCTGTATTCCAATGGACGATTGATCATGCCTGTCGAGGTCATCGCTAGCAATCTTTGTTTCTCGTCAAGATAATCAGAAACGAACTGTAGTTGAATAGCTTAACACAGCTGCAATCATAATGATTTTTAAATATAGGACAATAAAAAGCGATGCAAAGTTATGCTAATATTAAAACATTATTTGAATATACCTAACAGTCGGAGAGCCGCATCAAAGACCGTGCAGTTTCGATACCTCGAAGAATCTTTTTAAGTAGAAGTTTTGCATCAACGTTCGTTCAACATTTCCGACAACTTCAGTAATCTCTTGAGCGATTTTAATTGCGAACGTCGAAATTGGTCAAGATGATGAACTTTTTTGTAAATTGTGCCACGATGATAGAGGTTCAACTAAGATCAGTTCCACGTGAACACCTATCCTCCGTAACGAAGTTACACGTTGCAAAGACAAATGTCTACTGGGTACTAAACTCTTCCCAATCTCCTTATCGATCAAGTAAAATTACCAGGGTATTATTACGCGAGCAATCTGGGGGTAAAAAGATAAACGCTGGTCAACTTATTATCAGTAATCGCGACTTGCAGAAAGAAAAATAATTCGTCTCATCTGCGATTGTAATAAGTGCGGAATTATATGCTCTTTACAAATTACAACCTACGTATAAGCTTAGTTTTACCTTTAGCCTCTTGAAAAGATACAGACTGCGGTTTTTCCCATAGATAGTCCATTTGGAAGATTTATAAAATGTCATGGTTTATCGTGTCATCTATCGGCTTTCGATACTCGGAGCATAATACTTGCATTGCTTCTACGCTCTCTCAGGTTTCAAAGTAAGTTTACTGCATTAATCATACGGTTCAAATCTACTCTTAATTCGTAACACTTTCTGCATTGATCAACTTGAATTAAATGTTTATAGCGTACAATAGTTATCAATGATAAAATTATAAAAATTAACAATAGCGTACAAATAATGAAACAATTATCCTTAGCGTATAAAAAATATATATTTGAAATAATTATCGAAAAAAAGTTGATAATTATAACATATGACAGTAATTAGTAATCACACCCAGTAGAATAATTTTCGTCATAATAAAGATTCAAAAAACCACAACCCTGGATAAATTGTCTCAGGCCTGGTGTAGAATTTTCACAGTAATTAATTAAACAATAATTTCACAAATAAACTCTGCGACTTATATATTTTATCTAGTAAATTACTGGAATCGTTAATTGTTAATTATTAAAATCTGCATTTTATATATTTCATAATGTATAAAAAATGTTAAGCAATCGAAATAACATTCCATTAATTTTTATAATCATATTCTTCTATTTACACATCTCCACAAACAAATGAAATGTAACCATTAAGTACGATATTTTTCTGACAAATTTTCCACGACCCGAATCTTCAATAAAAATTCCCATTCTGTAATCTCCATAACATTTTGGAACAATTCTTCACTGTATTCACTTCACTAGTACATTGCGTACAAAACGGACACATACGAAGCAGAAGCTCTCAACATCTAAAAATATCAATTACATATAATTATATATAATTGAATATTATTATAAAACTATCTAACAAGTGCAAAATTCGTTCAAAATAAATAACGAAAATCTAAATGATACAAAATACTACGTAAAATAAGTACTCGCATTTTATACACATATATTAATTTTAGTATATCAAATTAAGCTTCTTACATTGGTAAATGCTTCCAGGGAAAGGCGTACGAACTTTCCAGCAGTAAGTGTCAATGGTTTTTGAGATCGTAACATCATCAACAATATAATTCGAGCATCTTGATGTTTCAAGTCGTACCAAAGAATATTATACACGGATTTAGTAATGGTCTCGCTCTAAAGAAAAATAATATAGTAAAATGTTGCTGGCCATAGTTCCTTGACTATCTTTTCTCCCGAATAGCCTCCGTGTACACTTCCGCGTGGATGATAAATATAAAATTTTAGATTCGGGAAATGAATAGTTTCCGAGAGGTTAGATGTGACCTTTTCGTACTTCTTAGTCGAGCGATGAAATTAAACAAAAAAATCCATTTTTCATGGGACACTTTATATTTTCTCGCTAGTAGAAGATGTCTCATAGGAGACTCACGGAAAAAGTGTAAGACTACAGTGGGAGTATGATCGATGACGGCGAGATGTTTGTGTGCGTATATATATATTTCAGTTGACGCAATAAAAATCTCATAAATAAGTGATTTAAAAAATATAAACTGTCGCGAGTGCTATAGTATTTAGTATTAAACGTAATGACATGTGTCTGGAATTTAAAATTTTATGCAAAGTATTACACCCAATTTCACCCTTATGTAACGTTGCCAAATTTCATTTCGATGAACTACGGAGACCATTCGAAGAATTCTTTTCCTATTCTTTCTGAATTTTGATATTTTCGCGTCTTACCTTGGAAGTAAGATATTCACCAGTATAGCATAAAATAAATGCTTCGCAATTGATAGCAATATAGTACGGCAAGCATTTCATTATTAGTACAGTTGTTTGCTCCATGTGTATGGACTGTTGTTAATAAAAGATATTAACGAATTTTCAACTTTAATTAAATTGGCCATTAAAAATAGTGCGAACTATAAGTAAAATTCACTCACGACTACCAGAATGAAGCTTATGAAACAGATTACCAACATATTTGATAAGAACTGACACAGAGATATGAAAGTGAAAATTGTTTCAATATTCTTTGACAGTTGAATAATTCTTTGATGCCTTATGACGACGTCGAACATTAGTGCCCGTTGCGACCTCTTCCCGGAATTATGAGAAATTTGTGATAATTTTTGGCACAATAAGTCGATCTGACTGCCAACGTGTAACATCTAAAACGCAAAATTAAAACAATTTTTGTTAAAATGACATAAAAGTATCGATAAAGGCAAATAACAAATGTGACAACGTTGAATGCGAAATTTATAATTGAAAATTTAAAAATCACTATTTGGACACTGGTATGTTTAGCGTTGAATATACTATAAATTAATGAAATTAATTATGATCATGCTACCAATTCGATTTAACGGTTCAATTGTTTCCTATTTTGTCAAAAATAACTTTATTTTGTTGTAATGTAAATGAGTGCAATCCATAATTAGTAATAGAATCATTTCTTTTGAAGTTTAACTTGGACCACTTTCATAATCACTTCTTTTTACTAATCGAAAATTTTTCGACTGACTTTTACTGTCGAACTGATCGCATCGCCACATGTACCATAAACGATACACGATGTGGCAACTACTCTAAACAAGCTAATTACTTATGGATTGATGATGTAATAACATATTGTTTGATAATATATCAATTCTTAGCCAAAACAACAAATGGCCCGGAGATCATGACGGGCAAAAACGGCTTGGCACGGAACGTGTTAACCTCTGTTGCGAGTTTTATTTTACCCACGTTTTAATTTTTACCCAGCACCCTTGCTAATTCAACACCGTCCATTGTTGTTTAGTAACCCAATTTGCTGACTGGCAATTCTTTATTCCTCTTTTGTTGCTAATCGTCTTCAACATAGGTTGACCAATATTAACCAAGTACGACAACAGGGTGGAATTCGCTTAATTAACTGAGTACTTGATGAATATGGGGAAATTCGTAACAATATGATACGTATCGCTAAATTATTTTCCAATTTTACAGATATAACCTTGAATTTTTCATTTATAGGTACATCATACTATTTCAGGTGCTTCAATTTTTACTATGTACATATTTCATTTGATAGAAGAGAAGACAAATGAAACCGTTCGAGTATTTTCGTAAATTGGTATGTACAAGTTATCATCTTGAAAAGAAATCATCACGAAGAAAAATACGTCGACTCTATTTCCTGCATGTGATTATATCAGCGACGGTAGAATTATTAAAATATAACGAATAAAATTCGCATTTCTTAAGTGAACTATCTTCTAATCATAGTATATCTACTGTGCAGAGTTCGGAACGTTTCATCCACGGATCATTCATTTGATTCCATCTTTGTTGCTATCGCAGTCTATCTTCTAATGTAATAGAAAGACAAGTTGCATAAGCACTGTTCATGTCTCGTATTAAATAGTTAACATTGGTTTTTGATTCTATATGTCTCATACAGCTTTCATTTGTTCGCGTCTCCCGTTTCGTGTCACGATGTAATTCATCATGTAATTTATGATATAATTCTACTTTTAGATGTAACTGTACTACTTCCAACCAATAACAAAAATTCGTTTGACGTAACTCAAGAATTATGTCAAAGAATATGAACTTATTATACTTTGGCCAATAAGACTCTCGTTCATTCCACCTGCAAACTCCTCAACTCTGCCCAATACGTTTTACAAAGGACTGCTTTCCCTAAAATACTCAAGAACGATGTCTGTTCCGTCGTGGAACAAGCAAGGCACCGTTACAGTCTTCCAACAGCCGGGTCTTTATGGCCAAAACAATGTGGCATCGGAATTTCCGTATCCATGGCTTCTGCATGTTCGAAAATTTTCTCTTTTATTATGACTTCTCCAGTCGCGGAACACGAGAATCCTTGCAAAACCTAATTTAACGAAATTAGGCGACGGCTCTTAAGATTTGGCTGACAATAGGCCTCAGGGCTCCACGTGGACCACACACGTTGGAATCCTCAAACCCTAGCGAGGGGCCATAAATGGAGGATGACTTGTATGCTGCTCGACATACAAAATATATATCGAAATAACTAAAAGTATGGACAAGATTGATATCAACGACCATGAATTTTGGCTTGCACGACTGGCTAGACAGATTAAATAGGATGAAGAAGGAACAATCTATACACATATCACCATAGACAGAATCAGCGTTAACTAACATTACAAATTATTCAGGTAACTCATTTTATTACAAAATCGAGTATCTAAAAATACGAATTTTGAAAAGATTAAAGGCGGAGATAGACTATTCAAACAGAGTACTCCTCTAGAAGTTCAAGACATAAATGTCAAAAGCTCGATAAAATTGTGTCACAAGTAATTGTTATAATATCAATAATGTAATTAATAATATATTAATAATATTTTAATAAAAACATAAAAGTATAAAAACGCAAATTTTTTGTGGAATGGATGACTCAAACGCTAGACATTCGTTCACACATCTCTGTTTATACTTGATCCATCAAAACATATATTTCAAAGGGACTGATACCAAAATTTGAAATATAAGAATGGATAATTAATATCAAATTTAAAGCAAGATAAAAATTATTGAAATATTGAAATGGAACAGTTCTATACGTACAATTTTACTTATTTTTGTACTACTATGAAGAATGTTAGATAAAAACGGAGCTTAGTTACTACAATACTTTCCAATAATGGAAACAGTTGTAAAGAACAAAATCTTAATTAGAGAACGATGTAACGTTCCGTATAAAAATTAAAACATTTCCCAAAAATGGTTTTCACTTAAAATTTCATATTTTTCTTATAACTGACCAATAATGAATTCTACAATAGAATACATGGCACTTCCATCGCATTTCATTAACTCTTTATTAACAAAATTAATCAATTTGCTTAATTAAATTCAATAAATTTCTTTGACTTTCAATTTTTTCAATTTTTTCAATGAAATTCATTAACGCAAGGACATATGAAACACTATGCATAGCATACAGAAATTTGTTTATAACGTACAACATATATTACGTCTTACGTATTAAAATTATCATATCAAAAAGGAATAATAGAAACTTAGTTTCTATTTTGTTTTAACACATGTACTAAACATTCGAATTACAATATAAATTTGTAAAAATATTATTATAAAGAATTACTTACTAATGCTGCGATCAGTGCTATCGACGTGGCCGCCCCGTAAACAATAAAAGATTCGAGTATAAACTGTACAGCTAGAATAATTTCATAACACGGTGAGTCAGTGGCAGAAAATGGAAATTCCATTCTAATCAAAAACATCCTTCGTTTTGGCTCTGAAGAATCCTGATCTTCGTCTAATTGTGCTAAAGCGAGCCCTGTATATAGAAGGAATGTGATCCCGAAATAACCGATTAAGAAATTCGTAATGCGAGAGGACAGCATAACCTTATCCACAATTATTCGCTTATTTTCAATGGTAGAATTATCGTTATTCCAGTCTTCGAACATGGTTGCCAGGATTTCGTAAAACATTCTGTTCCAAAATAATTTTTTCCTTTCAATTAAATGTATAAAATATTTACTGAAAATTCAATGTTATTAAACGCTCATCAAATACCAATGGTCATGTAAACTGATTCGGCGACAATCACGCCATTTTGCTATTGATTAATAAAGTTCAACGCAATATTGACTTTATTCCGGTTCTTTTCCCATTTACTAGTCAAATATTTATGTCTTACCGCTTATGGAGCCAAATGACAATCAACTTGAGGAACACGAGCAAATTAGATAATGCATAGCTCAATCCATCTAGTAATTCGGTTAAACTCGACATAATGTGCGTGATGCAAAACCAATATTGAAATACTAGAAACGTTAACATTATTATAGCCCAAACGATGGTTTTCAATGTCTGATAGGAAGAATCTGGCCAGACACCGAATAGGCGTAGGCTGTATTCCAATGGACGATTGATCATGCCTGTCGAGGTCATCGCTAGCAATCTTTGTTTCTCGTCAAGATAATCAGAAACGAACTGTAGTTGAATAGCTTAACACAGCTGCAATCATAATGATTTTTAAATATAGGACAATAAAAAGCGATGCAAAGTTATGCTAATATTAAAACATTATTTGAATATACCTAACAGTCGGAGAGCCGCATCAAAGACCGTGCAGTTTCGATACCTCGAAGAATCTTTTTAAGTAGAAGCTTTGCATCAAAAAATTTGAAATATAAGAATGGATAATTAATATCAAATTTAAAGAAAGATAAAAATTATTGAAATATTGAAATGGAACAGTTCTATACGTACAATTTTACTTATTTTTGTACTACTATGAAGAATGTTAGATAAAAACGGAGCTTAGTTACTACAATACTTTCCAATAATGGAAACAGTTGTAAAGAACAAAATCTTAATTAGAGAACGATGTAACGTTCCGTATAAAAATTAAAACATTTCCCAAAAATGGTTTTCACTTAAAATTTCATATTTTTCTTATAACTGACCAATAATGAATTCTACAATAGAATACATGGCACTTCCATCGCATTTCATTAACTCTTTATTAACAAAATTAATCAATTTGCTTAATTAAATTCAATAAATTTCTTTGACTTTCAATTTTTTCAATTTTTTCAATGAAATTCATTAACGCAAGGACATATGAAACACTATGCATAGCATACAGAAATTTGTTTATAACGTACAACATATATTACGTCTTACGTATTAAAATTATCATATCAAAAAGGAATAATAGAAACTTAGTTTCTATTTTGTTTTAACACATGTACTAAACATTCGAATTACAATATAAATTTGTAAAAATATTATTATAAAGAATTACTTACTAATGCTGCGATCAGTGCTATCGACGTGGCCGCCCCGTAAACAATAAAAGATTCGAGTATAAACTGTACAGCTAGAATAATTTCATAACACGGTGAGTCAGTGGCAGAAAATGGAAATTCCATTCTAATCAAAAACATCCTTCGTTTTGGCTCTGAAGAATCCTGATCTTCGTCTAATTGTGCTAAAGCGAGCCCTGTATATAGAAGGAATGTGATCCCGAAATAACCGATTAAGAAATTCGTAATGCGAGAGGACAGCATAACCTTATCCACAATTATTCGCTTATTTTCAATGGTAGAATTATCGTTATTCCAGTCTTCGAACATGGTTGCCAGGATTTCGTAAAACATTCTGTTCCAAAATAATTTTTTCCTTTCAATTAAATGTATAAAATATTTACTGAAAATTCAATGTTATTAAACGCTCATCAAATACCAATGGTCATGTAAACTGATTCGGCGACAATCACGCCATTTTGCTATTGATTAATAAAGTTCAACGCAATATTGACTTTATTCCGGTTCTTTTCCCATTTACTAGTCAAATATTTATGTCTTACCGCTTATGGAGCCAAATGACAATCAACTTGAGGAACACGAGCAAATTAGATAATGCATAGCTCAATCCATCTAGTAATTCGGTTAAACTCGACATAATGTGCGTGATGCAAAACCAATATTGAAATACTAGAAACGTTAACATTATTATAGCCCAAACGATGGTTTTCAATGTCTGATAGGAAGAATCTGGCCAGACACCGAATAGGCGTAGGCTGTATTCCAATGGACGATTGATCATGCCTGTCGAGGTCATCGCTAGCAATCTTTGTTTCTCGTCAAGATAATCAGAAACGAACTGTAGTTGAATAGCTTAACACAGCTGCAATCATAATGATTTTTAAATATAGGACAATAAAAAGCGATGCAAAGTTATGCTAATATTAAAACATTATTTGAATATACCTAACAGTCGGAGAGCCGCATCAAAGACCGTGCAGTTTCGATACCTCGAAGAATCTTTTTAAGTAGAAGCTTTGCATCAACGTTCGTTCAACATTTCCGACAACTTCAGTAATCTCTTGAGCGATTTTAATTGCGAACGTCGAAATTGGTCAAGATGATGAACTTTTTTGTAAATTGTGCCACGATGATAGAGGTTCAACTAAGATCAGTTCCACGTGAACACCTATCCTCCGTAACGAAGTTACACGTTGCAAAGACAAATGTCTACTGGGTACTAAACTCTTCCCAATCTCCTTATCGATCAAGTAAAATTACCAGGGTATTATTACGCGAGCAATCTGGGGGTAAAAAGATAAACGCTGGTCAACTTATTATCAGTAATCGCGACTTGCAGAAAGAAAAATAATTCGTCTCATCTGCGATTGTAATAAGTGCGGAATTATATGCTCTTTACAAATTACAACCTACGTATAAGCTTAGTTTTACCTTTAGCCTCTTGAAAAGATACAGACTGCGGTTTTTCCCATAGATAGTCCATTTGGAAGATTTATAAAATGTCATGGTTTATCGTGTCATCTATCGGCTTTCGATACTCGGAGCATAATACCTGCATTGCTTCTACGCTCTCTCAGGTTTCAAAGTAAGTTTACTGCATTAATCATACGGTTCAAATCTACTCTTAATTCGTAACACTTTCTGCATTGATCAACTTGAATTAAATGTTTATAGCGTACAATAGTTATCAATGATAAAATTATAAAAATTAACAATAGCGTACAAATAATGAAACAATTATCCTTAGCGTATAAAAAATATATATTTGAAATAATTATCGAAAAAAAGTTGATAATTATAACATATGACAGTAATTAGTAATCACACCCAGTAGAATAATTTTCGTCATAATAAAGATTCAAAAAACCACAACCCTGGATAAATTGTCTCAGGCCTGGTGTAGAATTTTCACAGTAATTAATTAAACAATAATTTCACAAATAAACTCTGCGACTTATATATTTTATCTAGTAAATTACTGGAATCGTTAATTGTTAATTATTAAAATCTGCATTTTATATATTTCATAATGTATAAAAAATGTTAAGCAATCGAAATAACATTCCATTAATTTTTATAATCATATTCTTCTATTTACACATCTCCACAAACAAATGAAATGTAACCATTAAGTACGATATTTTTCTGACAAATTTTCCACGACCCGAATCTTCAATAAAAATTCCCATTCTGTAATCTCCATAACATTTTGGAACAATTCTTCACTGTATTCACTTCACTAGTACATTGCGTACAAAACGGACACATACGAAGCAGAAGCTCTCAACATCTAAAAATATCAATTACATATAATTATATATAATTGAATATTATTATAAAACTATCTAACAAGTGCAAAATTCGTTCAAAATAAATAACGAAAATCTAAATGATACAAAATACTACGTAAAATAAGTACTCGCATTTTATACACATATATTAATTTTAGTATATCAAATTAAGCTTCTTACATTGGTAAATGCTTCCAGGGAAAGGCGTACGAACTTTCCAGCAGTAAGTGTCAATGGTTTTTGAGATCGTAACATCATCAACAATATAATTCGAGCATCTTGATGTTTCAAGTCGTACCAAAGAATATTATACACGGATTTAGTAATGGTCTCGCTCTAAAGAAAAATAATATAGTAAAATGTTGCT